GGTTCACCTGTCTTAAGTATTCTCCGCTCTCTACAGGGGATATAGAAGCCGGAATACCCTAAGTTGTGTTTTTGTGGTGGCTTATTATCTTCCTGTCGTCCATGTCCGAACAATCTTCCATCTTCTCATCGCGTTACGCTATTGTGGATGCGTCGTCGTCAGTAGTAGGATTCATTGGTGTCGCCACAGTTACGTTCGCCCGCTCGTTGGCCTGGTTTTTTGATGGCGTGTGGGATGAATCAGATGCCTGTCCTGGTCGCTTGCATCACTGGGCCGTGGTCCAAAGTCCCGTAATAAGATTCTTTTTCCTGTCAAGCCTTCACGAAAGAGGCCCAGTAAGGGAAACATCTTCTTGATGCTGTAGACGTCTTTGTGAGAATGACGGAAGTTAACACTAAACAAAGAAAAAATAGAAGGTCGATGATAGAGTTAGCTGCACTCTCAGCGTCCTTGTCGTTTAGCCTAGCTTTCTGCCCTCTTTGTTTTATTCAGTAATCACGAGATGCAGTTCGTGCCCTGAGTTACTCGGCAATGCAATGTCACTGGTAAAGCACAGGTTACTAAGGTACACTTCATTATTGTCCCTAACTCATTCCATTCTAGGCCTCTGAGAACCTCCTGTAAGCACGCGTTTATTGCTGTTATTCATATGGCCAGACAATTTTGACTTACTGATAAGTTACTTGCTCAAAGTTAGCTTAATTCGGATGAGCGTAATTTGAATGGGATTAATGTGACCATGCTCCGGCATCCAACAAGCTGGACATTCTCAACTCACTCCAAATTCAATTTCTCTCGCTTAGCTTCGTTTGTATCAACTAAATCCGGTTTAACCCACATTGCCTTATTCTCGCCATACTGTCAGCAAACTGGCTAGGCAATCTCTACTTACTCAAAACAACATGGTTTAAGATTCGGATGACCGAAACTTTGTGCGCTACTGTGGGCGCAGGTTAGCCAGATGAGGACAGAGGACGCTCGAGGACAACGAGAGACATTTATATACACGAAGACAGACACGGGAATACACACTACATAAATTCACACATATGTACATGCGTTCACCGTCTTACGTGGAAGGGGAGTTAATGTTTTAGTACGTCCACTCACGTTGTACTCTTGGAGCGTGAACTTCGCGGTCAACCTGGAGCTCTCTAGTCTACAGGAGGTGATGTTCCTCGTGTTTTCGGAGTCCGTACCGAGGTGTTGCCCGTCCTAGAAGATAACCACCAGGAGCATCCCAGTATGATGGTCAACACCTGGACTTGCCTGCACTCACACCGAGAACAGCATATCGACGGCTGCCAGTGAACAGACCCGGGACAACGTCTCGCTCCGAGGCCAGGACAGGGGCTGGTCGTGAAGAACGTTGCTCCATACCAACCCGGGGTGAGGTGGAGCGATGCCCAGTCCAGAATGCACCCGAGGACTTCGACGCCGAGACGAGGCCCGGGCACAGAGGGTCAGAACGAGCAGTCAGGGCGAGGATCAAACTTGTTCTTGCGCTCTTCTCTCTGCAGTTAGCCAAGCTGTTCCCGTCGCTCGAGAGCTTGCAATGAGGTCTGTAAACGAGCCCGCACATAGGAGAGCTTAATGTTTTCACTACTATCACCTTCATGATAATTTCCGTGCACTTGAAATGCTAATTCAGCCCCGCACACCAATCATAAATAAATCGACCCCGCACACCGATCTTCTACGTCAAAGTACGACGCGCACTCTCCAGGACAATGTTTTCACCACAGAAGGGCTACATATTAGAGTGTAGTACGAAGATTTATTAGGAAACATACTGCTCTGCCTGGTTACTGCTACCACGCTCCCCCAAGCACCAGCGGAAGCTGAAATTTCACGGGGCTACAGCCATGCGGTGCATTAAAGCAGTAGCTTTAAATGCCTCATCAAAAGCGAAAATTGATTGCTGGCGGTGCCCGGCGTCTTCTCGCGTTGGTGGGGTGAACACGAGTGATGAAATTAATCATCATAACGTGAAAGCATCATCATGTGACGTTAGATATCATAAATGTTTAATAGCTAATACATAATTGATAATAGCATTGTAGAACGCACTGATCATTACAAATACCTAGGCATAAACTTAACTTCTACACTTTTATGGTCCACACATATCAATTCTATCTGTGCCAACACATCAAGATCATTAGGTTTTCTGCGCCGAAATCTATACAGTGCTCCCTCCGATGTGCGCAAACTGGCTTATCTTGCTCTAATTCCGTCCTCAACTGGAATTCGCATCCTCCATTTGGTCACCATATCAACAATACCTCATAGATAAGTTAGAATCTATACAGAACAGAGCTAGTCGATTCATAGCGCGTAATCACAGCTACCCGTCCAGCGTAACACAGATTAAACAGAGCCTTGCACTCGAGCCACTGAAAATTCGCCGCGACATCTCAATTTTATCACTATTTCACAAACTCATCCACACCAGCATGATGTCATGTGTTCCCCTTAATCTAGCACATCGAACTTCGAGCAGACTATATAACACCTTTAGCATATCACGCATGTACGACAATACTAACGCTTTCAACCAGTCGGCTCTTCCACAAGCTATTCGTTAGTGGAATGATTTGCCAGATGATCTTGCGTCAGAACATGACCACACAAAGTTCTAATCATACTCTTAAAAAATACTTATGCACCAAAAACTGCTCTATCGCATCTTCGTAATCATCAGTGTTTATAGGACTGTCGCCGATGCTTTTGCACTATTGCTAGGTTGTAGTTACTGTCATAATAATTTTTTTGTATTTCACCTTCACATACTGTAACTCACTTTTCTAGTATGTATTTTGCTTACGTGTTTATAAGTTGTACTGCATTTTCTAATATATTCAATATTTGCCTAAGTATGTGTAGATATATATGTATACATATTATCTGTACCGCCCCCCTTACGCAATGCCCCTCGAGGGCTCTGTAAGGTACTGTAAATAAATAAATAAATAAATGTTTGTGACGTATTGGAAGGGCGCGAAACTTGACGACATCATATAACATTCTCGCGTGGTTGAAATCGGCCAATCATAATGGGAGTGCATCACCAGCTGAGAGGCAGAACGCTATCTTTGTCTCCAATCCTTGAGGCATTATGAAAGCAATGTTGGGCGCATAAATACACCGGAGAGAACTAGAAAACATTCAGTGCATTAAATCGAAAGAAGACGAGGTTTTTGTCGCTCAATTGTCTGAGGCGAATCCATAAGAGAACCGGTGAGTTTTTTTTTTATTTTTTTGTAACAAATGAAAAATGAAAAAGGACAATCAGATTTTTTTCTTTCAAATAGTCAGAGTGGTACACAGCAGTATTACATACTGATACATGCAAATAATGAGGTTGATAATAGTTTGAAAAAGAAAATAAAACGCCATTGGTATAAAGCTCGAACGCATATATCAAACCGGTAGCACGGGTGATAGAGCCCGTAGGAACAGCGCACCGCTGTGTTCGTGCTTCTTTTTATCCTCCCTGCATCTGTGTAAGTCGTATAAAAGCATGACTGCAAATTAACCCGCACAAAAACAAGCATTCGCGAGCATCCCAATACGCGCAGCCGTTCAGCGCTACCAGCATCCCGAAGTCTACTCGCGCTCCGCCACCAGGCGGCAGTGGCAAGCGGAGGCGAAGCGCACACTCGACGGCCTAAAGAGAGCGTTCACCAGGGCACTGAAAAAAATATAGGAGGCACTGGCCTGGGCCACGTAATTTGTGAGAACTAGCCGCCCGGGGAAGCTGCGTACATCACTACTCCAGCAGCCAATGAACACCACTGAGTGATGCACTGAAGTGTTTGCGGAGCTTGCACCAAATCGTAATTAAAGAATTGGCCACGATTTCTTTCGTCCGGCGCCCACCAGAGTAAACTGGTGGCAAATGAATGTATATACTCCTGCATGTTCTCGTTTTAGTGCGGCCACAGAAGTTCAGGCCAATGGAGCTAAACGGAAGCATCATTCCCTAAAACATTCAAGGTGGCTATGTTTTCATTTACAGTGTAACGTGAACGGTGAAGTCCCAAAAAGTATGGAGGATGGTGGAACGTACAGATAGACGCATGGATGCACGGGCAATTACACAGACGCACAGACGGTCGGACGATTGCAATGACGGATGAACTGAGGACGGCCTATTGTAGATGCGAAGCAGCTGTTTAAATACCCCGTTGAACGTTTCTCCGTGCCAACATTCCACACTGTGTTTCCTCCGCCGCAGTTGTTGGAACAGTGCCAAGTAGATCAGGCCACAGCTGCGCGATGACGTCACTATTTCTTTCCCCCGGAACAACTGCCGGCTCCCTCTAACACATTTACATGGTGTTGCTGATCCGCTCGCTCGCAACACACTTCTTTCTCGCTTCACCGTCTCCGCCGCCCCGAACGCTTGACACCACGTCGAGTGCAAACGCTTTATCAGCTCATTTATCTGCGATAAAACTTACACGAAACTCAACCCGCCCTCGGTGTCTTTGCCTTTCAAAAAAACGTTTACACAAGTAAAAGCTACACCAAGTTTCGCTTCAGACGGTTCTTCCAGCCCACGCGGTGAAGGCGTGCACACCGCTGCTTCTTCGCACTTCATCATGGTTGCCTTCGGGCAGGTGGTCCATAATTTTTTCAAACTATACACACAACATGAACGCTTTATATATGGTGTATGTAACACTTTGTGCTTCCGTCCAACGTGGGATCTACGACGACGGTGATAATGGACATTGTGCGAGTCTTAGAAGCTTCGCTCCTAAAGAGTAAGGTGGAGGGATGCCTTGATGCCAACAGTAACAGAACCTGCGACCTTCTGCTTACTCTCTCGATGATCTTACCGACTGAGCTTCAGCGGTGATCAATCACCTAGACCACTCATAGGGTGTCTACGTGCATGGGAATCCTGTGTGTATTAGCCACTACCACTCTAGCCGTTAACCCTTGCTTTCTCTAAACTTTCTCTTGCTTTAACTGTGCGTTGTGTACTTCAGTCCGTTTCAGATGGCGATTTTAGGATAAGCCTCGTTGTCCTGAATACCCTGCTGCTTTGTATCACTGCTGGCAACCTTGTTGCGACAGGCCTGCGGGACACCCTTGTTTACAATCAACGATCAGGAAAGGTATGAATTTTACATTATCGCAAGTCATGTAATAATCTCTTGAAGTAGTGGCTGTGTTCCGACAGCAAATGTGGCCACCGCATTGCACATGCAGCTCGAGGATCTTAGCGAAACATTTGCCATGCTTACAGTGAAGGTTAATCATATACTACCTCTGAGAGATGCTTTCTGTGTAACGCGTATTTCACGCATCTGATAAGCTCATTAAAGTTCGTACATGACAACAATACCCGAATCTCGAAATATTGATGAGAACACTGATGCCAAAAAGAGTGTAGGGAACGCCAAGGATACCAGCGATGCTGAATAACCATGACCGTGACGGCTAATGTTCCACATTCACCGTCATAGTCGTGGTGTTTCAGCAGCAATGGTAGCCACGAGGGCAAATGTTCCACATTCGCCGTGGCTGAATTGCCAGAGTTCATTCGTGTTATTCACCATGGGTGAAGTCTGCAAGAGCGCTACATGGTGGCAGTGCACCAGTTGAAGCCTGTAGCTCGTAAATGGAAAGTGTCGTGGACACGCATGGCACTGACAGCAACGTTGTAACGCTCTGGGATGCCTGGCGGCGCGGTAACAAATGATCTGGGACTGCTTGTTTGCACTTTATTTATTTTATATATTTATTTACAAAATACTGCAGACCCATTTAAAGGCCCCAGCAGGAGGGGCAAAGATCATAACATTGCACACAGGTGTAAACAGCAAGAACAAAAAAGATACATCATATACAAAAGATACAAAAACATAGGTCATGGTTAAATACACTCAAGTGCCTCTAGAGAGCTGGTTAACGATTGAGGTAGGCAGTTCCAGTCGTTTGTGGTTCGAGGAAAGAACGAGTATTTGAAAATGTTTGTTCTGGCGAAATACGGTGTTAATGAATGAGCGAAGCGCCTCTTTGCGAGTCCGACCGTGGACAGGAAGCGATCTACAGGTGGCTAATAAGGGTGATCGTTGTGACCAGCGTCTTGGCAGTTTGGAAAGAGTCTGGGCGACTATTCTCTGTGGTCCTATGAAGAGTCAGCAAGCCTGTAGGTCTAGACGTCTAGTGGTGAAAAGGACACCATGCCACCGTACTGAGGGCCTGTATATCACCACAAGGCGAGTGCTCGAAATTGTCGAAACATCTTCGGTGCTATGAAGACTAGTAGCAGGTCCCGAACCTCGAAACTGCTGCCCGTTTTCGTAAGGTGGGTGGTTGGGTGGCTTAGGTCGGAATGTTTGCCGAAACGGTGGGCGAGCAACCCGTAAGACGTTGTCCACAATAAATTTAACAATGTGCGGATTGGTAGCCATTGTGGAGTCTGTGGTGTCACAATTTCGATGGGTCATAGATATGTGGAAATAGGCATGGATGACCAGCGTGAACGCAGGAGTAGCAAGATGCCCTGTCAGCTTATTAGTGCATCGAGAAATTTGAGCTACCTTGTTGTGTTGTCTGGGCGTAGGATAGTAGGCACTCGATATGCACCACAAGGCAGAGTCAATTAAAATGGTCGGTGAGGTTCAATCTCGTATCGTACGATTGGTGTCTTGTGTGGGGCTTTGCTTAACGCAACTGAACTGGAAGTTGGCGTCCCTTAGTTTGCCGTAAGGGCGTGTGCTGATCGTGAAGTGAGGTGATGTTTGAGGCTTAGCTTATGAACACGAATTGATCCAGCTGTTTTTGAGCTCCACGGCTGCCTAGAATTCTTCGAGCAATGTCTCGAGAAGGAGTTCCTTAACGGTGGCCGAGGCGGGTCAAGTGTGGCTGCCAGGCTTGATCGGGCTGTATCATAGTTGGAACAGCAGCTGGGGGGTAGCCGTGAAGTGCTTCTCACTAATTATTGCGCTCCAATTGCAGAGAAATGTGATGAGATGGTCACAGGTGAGGCCGTGCCGTGGTCAGCAGCCTTACTGAGACGGGAGCCAAGTGAGAGCCCGAAGCGTTTAAAGCTGCTGCGTCTATCCAGATAAAGAGCCACAGCCTTTCGATCTCCTCTTTCAGAGCTACGCGCCTCTCTTCTTTTTTTTTCCGCGTATGCCGCTTGCAATACAAGCTCGACTGAGTGCAGGAGCAAACTCGGATCAGATGATACCGAAAGCGAGACATTTTTATGCTAACAATACCTTGTGTGTGTTTAACACAGCCTTCTTGGTGCCTCCTCGTCCAGCAAAAGTTAATTATATGCCTCGTGTAGATTTAAGGTGATGAACACCTGCCTCCACAGAGATACGAAAAAATCCTCACTTTTTTACAACGGATATCGCTCAGAATGCATTGCCGGATGGGCTAATAACTAGGTTTTAATTAGGTATACTTGACCAATTATTTGAATGTTTAATTAACTATACAGCATGAAATCCCCGTTTAGTTTAAATACAGGCTTGAGGGGCGCATCTCACTGCAAAATTCTCAACATTAAAAGCCCTGCTTCCTGTACTTGGCAGTAAATTTCATCCAATGCATTTCCCGAAGCGTAAAAGACACTGGTCGAGCCTTGTATAAGCGTAGTACAGCGGCCTTTTTTGTGAAGTTGTGCAGGTGGCCCCTTGAAACAACTTGACCCCTCCCAAACATTTTGCGAAAATTCAGCCAGACTTTCCGCCATGGTTTCGTCGCAGCGAACTGCATTCACGTTGTCTCGCTCAATATTTTTCCAGCAGAGTCATGTCAGAGTTCCGGAAGGCTTGAAAGAAGCTCCGGTGCCATAGCAGAAGCACATCGCAGATTACTACAACTAGCGAGCTGTCCACTTGCATGTTACCGCATTTCACATTCGTGGTCTATCGGCTGAGTGGCGCCCAGGAAACAAGTCAGGCAAAGTGTAGTCTCTCCCAGTGTCTTCCAGTAGCTGTGAGAAACCAAAGAATAGAGCATTTGTTCTTCGCTCTTGTCAGTGCCGTCAAGAGCGTAAGTTTGTGAAGGGTTTAGGCGACTCCCGGAGCCATAAAGTTTCCTATATATGCATCAGAGGGAACTGTGGCACTTGTTTCTAGTAGAGGTGCAATGCATGGCACTACAGCGAGCATGGACAATGGTAGATAGTATACGGATTTGTCTAACCTGCGTACTCGTGTGTTCGTGTGGTTTGAAGTTGTTCTGTCACAAAAGAAACTCAGCAGAAGTTCAGCGCTTACGCATCCCCACCTTAATCGTTTAGGCTTACCATTTCAAATGAGGTCACTAAGTTCAAAAGTATTTGTATTTTCTTCAAAACAGAACCGTAAATACAGCAATGAACGAAACCACAAGTGTGATTTACCTTCAGCAAGTACGAAGACCTAGCGAAATCCGTGTACCCCCCTCATTATCATGGTCGCTGAACGATCGCAGCATCGGAGTCCCCTCTAATTAATTTTAGAAAACTCTATGCCTGGAGAACTCTTTGTCATCATTTACTTTTGCCGCACTTGTGGCACGTCGCTTTCTTGTGTTTGCACACATCCAAAGCATGGTTGAAGCCTCAGCGCCAGCATTCAGTGCACTCGGTCGTAATTGAATACCCTTGTGTTAGTTTTTCGAGGTTGATCTTGTACTTAGGCAGCACAAAATTGGTGCCCTCGTTGTTAATTAAGCTCCTGTCTGGCATAGCCCGCACTTTCAATTCCGCCGTTTCTACTGTTCCAGCAAACGCTTCTGGCTAAGCCAAAGTCAGCTTCTTTCGCAACCGCACGTGTTGTCGAGTCCTTTTCATCACGGATTTCACACGCAATCCGACCTGGAAACCTATAGATTCGGCTCCAAGAAATTGCGAATTTTGCGAGAACTCTCCGATAACTGATGTACTTCTGTACATATTGGCTTTTTGATTTATTCCGCATGAAAAAAAGGGCAACTCACTTCAATTATTGGTTTAGGCCCTAGAGTGGTTGACCAGCAGATGTATGACAGGGTCAGAGCTGAGGCTGATCGCCGAGTCTGATTGTAATTTGTATTTAGACCTCTCAAATGATTATGAATACTACCGCTTGCGATCCGCATAATAAACGTGGTCTAAAGACTAGCTTTTCTTTAATATGGCTTAGCAAGTAAGACATGTAATAGACCAGGACCTACACTGAAGCGTCATCTTAGGCTAGAAATTAGTCATGACAAGGTTTGGACGCTGGGCAAAAAATGCGCAAGTGATGAATCTAATAATAATGTTCTCTAAACCTCAACGGCTTCAGTGACTGTTACTTCTTAATAAGGAAGTTGTACCAGCAACACTAAAATACAACATTGTGGCAGAGTTATCTACATACATTGAGCACACAACAGTCAAGGTGTGGCATATATTCCAGTGAGTGGATTTCTCGTCCTAGTGAAAAAAAAAAAACAAGAGACATTATGTATAAGCTACAAGGGGCGCTCGCTGAACTCCCATGGATGTTCTACTGCTTTGCCAAGTCTTTTTGTTTTTAAGCATCTATAATGTTCGGTATCACGTTTGGATTGGCAAAATATATTTGGGCACGCTTCTTGGAACCGCTTGTCGTAATCTTCCAAATGACACTCACCGTTGATTATAAGCCCTTCTTCAAATATAAACTTAAGGTTTCTCGCAGCTGTTCATAACATTGTTAGGCTCAGCAGCTATGTCACAATGTCGAACAAAATTTACCGAGATGTTCAAGTTTGCGTAATGAAACGAGTTATACAAGTGTGGGCCTGTACTTGGACGGGTGCCGAGATATGTATGGACAAATGAATGAATGAAGATGAGCGTGTGACAGGTTCGATAAATAAAAGCAGTCGGGCTAGCTGTGAACGTTATTTTCTGGAGAGAAAAGAAGGTTAGCGTTTTATTGCCTAAAAATATGTTTTCACAAAAAACAAAAAAAACGCGAAAAGGGGAATGCTAAGATATGCAAAACGTAACCAAACAACCAGCAGCTCTCTTTAACGAGGTGAAACATCTACGAGTCTAAACAGCCTCTCGAGTTCTTGAGTAGGAGTCCAGACGCGCAAGAATTTTGATACAGCTCACCAGTGGTTCACGCCCTTCAACAGTCTAGCGGCAAAGCTGCCATGGTGGGAGTGCATAAGCTCGGGCCCGTAGCCCGACGGCTCACTCCCGCTCCCGTTAGACGACGTCATCTGCGGCGCTGTGTTCAGCTCGAACACCAGAAGCAGGCCTTGCCAGGAACTAGCCAATAGCCTCGGTGGTGGTTGAATGGTCACCAGGACCCATTGATTGTCGTCGCCGGCTAGGTGCATGCATTGACGCCTCGGTAGCTGCACCCGATAAGATCGCACGCCGCGCCTTAGCCGCGCTTTTTCAAGCGCCCGCACGAATCTCCCTCTTCCCCCTTCTTCGATGCCGTGGCTCTCCATTATCTTCTTCTAAAGTCAATAGTACTTCTTGGGAACCTTTGTCGGAAACATTTTGGTCTGTCTGTCTGTCTGTCTGTCTGTCTGTCTGTCTGTCTGTCTGTCTGTCTGTCTGTCTGTCTGTACAATTGTCTGTTTGCCCGCCCTTAACGATACCTCAAACGGCTGACCCGATCCGCAGCGCCTACCAGTATTGCTCAAGGTTAAGGGTTCATACTCAATTAAAAAGCAATGATTGCACATATCTGAGGTACCATAACAACACGTTGATGTTTTGTGTGTGTGTCTTTATACTGAGAAGGCACACAGAAGTGATTCTAAGGACCGTAGCGTTAAACACGCAGTGCTCAAAAAACCTGTTACCAAACCTTTGCTGAAACGACACGGTGGTGGCACTTACCCGTTGCTTTGCGTTGTACCCCTTATCACCTCCGAGAATGACACGCACTTTCCTCCGCAGGCGCGCATGCCTTCCTTCGTTTTCGAAGATAACTTACAGATGGCGCTCGCGTCTAAGGTGCCTCAATGCACTTGTTCGCCTCCGCTGCACGCTCGAGGCAATCTAACGCAGTGCCTCTAGAATACCTTTCACCAATTTTCTTGCGCAGAACATCAAACAAGTGTTTTGTTCACTCTCCCCAGGCGCAGGACTATCGTCTTTCGGTGGCATTCGCAATGTACCATGCAGATCCGGTGCTAATTTTTTTTCCGTGACGCGCCCTCTTTTATTGGTGCGTACTACGAACGCCAACTCCACTTATCACAGAGCGTAATACATCACTTTCAGCTTAAAAGCCGCTTTGTGAATTAAGACTGTGCACAGGTGCAACTGTGTAAGTATGCAGGGAGGGGAATGTTGAACAGGGCATGTACGTAGTTCGTGATCCTGTGGTAGTTCTAAAAGGACGCGTTGTTAAAGAAAGGGACACAATGCGGCAGAACGTGGTTTTGTGTTTGTGTTTAGCTTGTCGCCAGTTTAGTCCTATCACAATGCGTTGACAGTCAGTGAACAACCTAAAAAACGACTCCATCTAGGCTTTGTTACTGTTTAGTGTCCTCCGAAGCAAATATGATTGCAGTATAGTATAGGCCGGTAAAAAAGTACGCATATACGTTGCCAAAAACGAGTGTTCTCGTAATGTATTACCTTTATATTTTCAGTTCCAAATGACTGAAGAAGAAGAGTCATATTCACCATTAGGCCTCTTCATCTGCAGTCCCATTCACAGGTCAGTGCTAAAAGACATTTTTTGTTACAGCGCGAAAACAATGAAGATACAAGACAGAAAAGAGACAAACGAGTGCTTATTCGCAACTGAAAAAGTTTTTGAAGAACACACGCACGTGAAAAAATCATCAAAAATGGCCATGTTAACGTTGCGAAGAAGTGTTAAAAAGGAATATAAAGAGTCACAGCTGAGAATATATACAAAATTTTTCTCAGTCAATTGTAGCGATGCCTCACTGACGCTTACTTCATCCATTCTCTTGACACGAAAAGCCTCTATCACTTCCCTGGGTCTGCGGGATCTGTGCTTCGACAAAATCTGTATCTGACAAAACAGGTGACCAGCCACAAGTGCTGCAGTGTGATGCCAGATGCGAAGCGTTCGAATTTCGCAGCAAATTTCCGTGCTCTTTTAAGTGCACTATATTGCAATGACCGCTTCACCCAACGTATGACCAGCCACGTGTAATAAAGATATCGTAAAAAAACACACTTCGAACGCACCAACATGAAAAAATGATCTATTACACGGTCACTTTTTTCCCAGTCATCTTGCTGAATTTTTTTCTGAACCATTGAACAATATTTTAAAAGGTTTTCTGGAACCGAGAAGACTGATTTTATTCCATACCTGTGAGCGGCGTTGCGCAAACCGCACGACACCTATTGTACAGTATCGTCCACTTTTATTGGGAACACTACAAAAGGCAACGTGGATCTTACCGGTGCTGTAATGGTACAAAGATTCATAAACAACCGTCATGCACGGCACTAGTCTGTCAGAGGAAAGTAAAACTCTGAATCAGCGGTAGTCCTATGCAAAGCTAAGCTACTGTGCTCATGCAAAAAACTTAAATCCAAACATACCATTCAGCCAATTTATTGCTTTAGCAGTGGACCTGTCTGTCCGTGATGTACTAAGTAGTACTGCTAATGCTTCGTAGTCTTTTTGTGTGAGCTTTTTTCTGTTAAGAAGGCCCTGACTTTAACGCTTTATTAGCTTTTCTTTACACGTAGCTAACACATGTCATGGGCACCTGGTACTTTTCTGTCTTTTGTTTCATGCTCTGAAGCCGTGCTCGATGCCATGAGCACTAGACTTGGTTATATCTGATCTCAACTACGAGTATGCTATTCCACTTTTTTACTATTTGTGAATAACTTGAAGGGAACGGGAGGACACGTTTCTTCGACCTCGGAATGTAGCGCCTACAGTGATGATTAGACAAAAACTATAGGCTCAAATCCCAGAACTTCAAATTCATTTTCTTATTGAGTTCGAACGTGAACTAAAGGTCATTTCCATATTGTCGAAAGTTTTTCAGTATGGCTGTTGTCCTTGTGCTATAACTGTCACAAGGAAAAACACCTGTTAATCATTGGCATAACAAAACACAGTCCCTGCAAAATCCTAAAAGTGGTCTTTCCAATAGATTGGCTCACGTACTTGTCATCGAGATCAGGAGCAATTCGGGAACCTATACAGACACCACTTTTCTGAACGTACACTCTATTCTTGCATTTCACAAAAGTATTGAACAGATAGAAAGTAACAATTCAAAGAAGAACTCCACTGACATGCCAGATCTTTGTGTAAACATAAAGTCATCACTGTGTTCATATACCACTTCTCTGGCACTAGGTAGCTGTTTGGCTTGCTCGAACAAAAATTACTGTCTATATTAAATTCTTTAGCAGAATTGGATCATTGAGGCTAAGCGGGGCTAGTATAGCCTAAACGGAAAATTGGAAACCCTTAAGCTTCGCCTTTAGAAGTTTAACGCGATAGCGAAATCCGGCCCTTAGTGCTCCCTTTAACTGCTAAGTGCATAGTTATTACAATGTTTTCTTACACACACACACACTTACACACGCACACACACGCGCGAAAGCGTGACGTATCTATACCAATGCAGGGTCTGTGCAGTGTGGTCACTTTCCTCTGCTAGAACAGTACTCTGCCGTAGTCGATACATGTTTTTCACAATGTCTCACACATGGCACACAGACACACACACGCGTGCCCATGAATGGTACAGGTTATTCATCTGAAGCAAGAGTCACCTGGCCTCCAAGATACACGCCGTGCGCTTGCCATCTGAGAGGCCCCGGCTGCCTGGATCGGGCGCGTGCAGTGCCCTATCCAGGCGGATGCAAAGAGGTCATAAAAAACCTCACAATGACTTACAGGTGGCAGCACATTATCTAGCGTTTGCTGTTTGCTTGATAAACGCCTCTGGAAAGACATAATAATTTTTCCTCTAGATGGACATTGTTGTCCATTTTTAAAGCTGTTTGAAAGTTCCTGTGTGCCTTTAGCAGTGATGGCTGCACTATCTCGGCCTTTTTCAACGTAGTTTTATGGCCTCGGTAATGCGCTCACAAATCACCGAATGAGTCGTTTTCGTAGGGACACCTGTCGAAAAAAATGTTTATGGAGACTCCTTCTTCTCCATGGCATTTATCTAGTAATTTTTCTAAGGCAGCTGTAAGCGACGTGGTAGCTTTCTGTTGAGACAGCTGCTTGCCACGCGTACGGCCCGGGTTCGATCTTCAATAAGGCTGAAAGTTTTATTCTTTATATTAGTTGCTTCTTTCTCAATTTTTTCCTCACGGACGATTTTTCGCTCACAACCAGTGGTGCCGACAACGACGGCGGAAGTTCTGCGACAAGAGGTCTCAAACGCTATTGCATTAAAAGAAGACACTTTGTACTGTCAAGTGTATTTCTCAGAAAATATGGTCCTAAAGAACGCTTCAGGCTTATGAGTTTCAAAACAGAAAAAGAGTTGAAGGTGCACTCATTTAGCCTGCTTAATCCTTTAGCAAAGCCTTCGAGCCTCAAGCTATTGGAATCAATTGGAATCGCTTTAGTGTTTTGTCTTCGTATTTTTCCCATGGTAACCGAAAATGCGTCCGAATTAACTAGCCTGGCTTTCAGTATGGTTGCAGTGCTATAATACTTTCATCACCTACAACGCAACGACATTCACTGATTTTAGAAAATTTGATATTTTAGTTTATAATTGCTTATTCGTTACTACTGAATAAAAAGCCATTCTTAAAACTTCATAAAACCTAACGCTAGGCTTGTTAAGCTCGTATTCCATCTATATGAAAACTGTTAAAGATGCCACGCACATCAAAAGCTGTCAGATCCAGAGCTTGCAAAAACTACTAGACTCACTCGAAATTATAATTGCTTATTCATTATTACTGAATAAAAAGCCATTCTTAAAACTTCGTAAAACCTAACGCTAGGCTTGTTAAGCTCGTATTCCATCTATATGAAAACTGTTAAAGATGCCACGCACATCAAAAGCTGTCAGATCCAGAGCTTGCAAAAACTACTGGACTCACTCGAAATTTCGACTGCGAAAGTTGCTATGTCATGACAACAAGGGCTGTTATTGCGCAGTAGGTTTTCGGCACCGCCACTGCCGATCAAGTGACTATAACTACTATATCACGCAAAAGCAAAAAAAAAACAACGAAAGAAAAATTTTTTAATACTAAAGCGGGGTTCGAACTTGAGTCTTGTCTACTGCAGCCAGGAATTAGCCACCCGCAGCTTCGCCGCTTATTTCCACTTTATGGCTGCTTTTACATCACACACATGAAGCAAGAGAAATATTTTACAAACCACAACAAGAACGCCACAACAAACGATACTGTGGTCGTAAATCACCAAGAAAGAACCGTGTCACTTTAAATTATTTCAAAATAAGCAGGGCTGCTACCCTTTCTAATGATGATGGAACGCATTCGTTGGTTCTTTCTACCTTGATACATCTTGTTGTAGGCGTATACTTTATCAAAATTACTCTCTTGTGGTTATCTTGTCAGGGCCACAATAAAATCCAGTCCTATGCTGCAGTAGGGCTTGGCTTGAGTGTCCAAACATGGCAGTGGCCCACTGTGCGTTGAGTCGTGCTCGTCCGGACAAACAGTGAAGCTTCATGTCAATTTATTCACACGAGAGCGCCATATAGCTTACAAAGCAGTCCTTATATTTGGTAATCTGTCTTCATTCTTTATTGCTAAATACCTGTTTTTCAAAGGCCTAATGATAATTTTTTATTGTCCTTTGTACACAACATGGAAGTGCAGCAAACTGTACAGGATGTCCCACATAACTTGAGCCAAAAATTTGAAAGTGAAAGGCACTTAGGAGGCTAAGTGAACCTAACGCATACTTCTCGCACTAGCTTATATGTATTCAGGCTATTTTTTTCTCCCCATACTAATTAATTAGTATTTCTTTGTTACCTATTTTTACTTATGGGCTGGAAACCCAAATAATGAACACTTAGTTGGAGAGCACGTTCAGAAACCACCGACTAAATTGTTTCCTGCACCATATGTCTCGCGCTGTTATTTTTTATAGTTATAAGGAAAGCCCGCGAAACGTAAAAACAAGCCGTGTGAAGACTACGAGCGCACTGCCAGAGGGCTGCCATAGGCTTTTTTTAGAACGCGAAAACAATAACAGCGCTTGACGTATCCTACAGGACACAATTTAGTCAGTGGTTTCTGAAAGTGCTCGTGCATATCAGTGTTCAAATTTACTGTTTCCAGCCCATTTTTAAAGAAATAGGTAATTAGGAATGAAAAATATTTAGTATGGGGAGAAATAAAAAAAATTGGCTGATTGAACTTTCGAGGGTAGTGCAACTAGTACGAGTTTCGTTTAAGGCGCCACTGAAGTGTCTTTCATTTTTAAATCTTGGCTCAAGTTATGTGGTGCACCCTGTACACTAATTTGGTTACAGATTGGGCATTCAGATGTGCATGACAAAAAAACCTTTGTTTCTCTAGGAAGGGCCTCAGTGGACGTGTTTTGGTGTGTACATATAAAATGTAAGAAAGTAGTGACTGATGATAGAGGCGGAGCAGGAAGAAGTGCTTAGGAATAAACATGAAGTATGAGCCAGGACAAGTCTAGCATTCATCATTCACTGCGTCACATATATGTGAAAAAGGTTGCCGCGATGTGTGCTA